ACTCTGCCCTTCGACTGTATTTTTTACTGAAAACCGTGAAGCATTGAAGTTTCGGTCAGCGCTGCTTCATGTATGCGTCTTTAAAGAAACACTCAAATCTGACCTTGATTCTTCCTCTCACGGATCAATCCTCCGTCATCATTTGGCTGATCCGCTTGTTTAGATGTAAGTTAAGTAAAAACTTAGTTGTGGATTGTTGCTGAATGTGATCTTAACTGAAAACGTCACACAGATTAGAATTAAAGCATAAACATAAACAGTGTTTCAAATGATATAAAAAAAACCCCCCACTATCAACAAACGACACTGATCTTATCAAGTAGGGTTTTGTGTTGATAATAAATCTATTTCTATTCTTTTTAACCTTTAACATCGTCTTACCTTCCCTACACAAGCTCCATTAATCCACCTCTGTGTGCTTTTCTGCTCCTCCGTCTCTCAAATATTCAGCTTGGTGTTCTGAGCCATTTCCCCCCCCAGGAGGTGCCGAGTGAAGCCGCGTGAGGCTTTAAAGGAGCACCACCTCCTGCGCTAGATTGTTTTGTTATTTTTTCTTTTCCAGGGCTTCTCTGGTTGCCCCCGTCGATCGGTGTGGCCTACGGGGGGCCGAGTTACTCCGGCTGAATCCGCAATGAGTCTGGAATTGTTCCGGGTGGGGGGGGAAGCCGTGGGATTTAGTGCTCCTCTGGGAGAAAAAGTCTCTGGAGGGACGCTGCAAACTTTTGGTTGTGAGCGGCATTTAGATTTTTTTTTTCCCGGGGGGGGGGGAAAGCTTCTGCCCCGGGTTTTGTTTGGTTATCTTGTGTCAGAGCTGTTTGCCATGCAGCACCAGCGCCAAGGTGGTCCGATGTAAATGGCACAAGGCTGAATGTCTTCATGGGGATCTTCTTCTGTGTGTTTTACAGCAGAATTATCTGCTCTGAATCACCAAGAAAAACAAGACAACTCCCTCTGAGAGGGATTGTGCCAAAACAACACACAATTTAAACATTTTTAATTTGTGGTATTAAATAAATCTGACGATCCAGTGGTTCCCCAACCATTATAACAGGGCGGCGCTACCCCACCTGCAAATCCCCCCCGCCGAGGTTGTAAACCTACAGGGAAATACTGCTGTCCAACACTCACAACAATCCCTGTAGCCACGAGCTGTAATTGCCAAAAACAGAACGATTTACATTTCTTTTATCTACCTTCACAATTTACATTCTTTACGAATTTAAAACTACAGGCCGTCAGTTTGCTCCTGCTTCTTTATGCTAAGCTAAGCTAACGGCCTGCCGTGTTCTGCTGTGTTTTGGACGCACGGATACAAAAGTAGTGTTGATCTCTTCATGAAATTTTTATTATCTTCCGTCTACTTCGCTTATCTACTGTTTACACATCCAGCTCTGTGTGCCGTGAAAAGTCGGTTATCCTGCGTTTTATATTCAAGGGTTTGATCAAATTTGCCTAAAAATAGAATTCGCCATCCACAGGAACACGTTTGAAAAAAGGATACTCGATATCTTTCATGTGCAAAGACGGAAACACTTGACGAGTTTATCTTCATCCCACGTGGGCGGATTCACGATCATCTGCGACGGGATCTTCTCTCCCGGCTGCTAAAGTGGAGCGGCACATGACCTTGAAAGCAAAAGAAGAGGCTTGGCGCGTGTGTGCGTGTGTGTGTGTGAATGTACAGGAAGATGCAGATCTCATCTCCTGCCTCTCTGACGGATGCAGAGCTCGACCCCCGGCGGCTCGGCTCAGGCTGCGAGCAGCAGCTCCGCTCTGCTCCGTCGGCCGTTTGATCCATCATCCATCCATCCATCCTCTCCGCTGTCGCCGCCTGCAACACCTGCTGCCATGGCAACCACAACCTACCTCCCGCCCCCCCCTCCCCCTACCTCCCGTCCCCTCCCTCGGTTAGTGGTGGGAGAGAAGCATGCTGGGTAATCTGATTCCACCTGGAACATTTCTCCTCAGGGATTTATCGGTCCTGAATCTCCTCACGAGGGACCGAACTGCACATTAAATACAATCTAAACCTGCGTATTGTGATCAGGCTGTGGAAGAACCCTAAAACAAGACGGCTTCTCCAAACAGGGAGAACAGAAACGCCTCCTTCGGTTCGCAGGGACAAAAATGGCAGAATTGATAGTTTGAGCAGTGACGTCTCAGAGCCACACGGAGGGTTCGCGTTGCTTCAGGATTTATTATTGTTTTTTTTGGGGGGGGTGAACAGCACATTTCTCAAAATGAATAACTCAAATAAATCAACAATGATCTTAGTACCTTGTGAGGAGATCAGCAGTAGTCTTAAACATCCTAGAACTACTTTAAAAATGTAGCACGTATTGACAAATATTCTGAGAGAAATATTGAGGGCCGACTTTATTTAAAGATGTAAAATGAACCGTTGATCCAGAACAGATTTTGTGGATCTTTGAGGCCGATAAATTATAGATTCGAAAAATATGGGTCTTGTTAGAGTACATGTTTATGGTGCCATTTCTTTATTGTTCCGAATGGCTCCACCAGATTGTTTTTGAATGCTCCGCCTTCAGTAACAAAGATTACATGTACATTACATGTCATTTAGCTGACGCTTTTTTTCAAAGCGACTTACAATAAGTGCATTCAACCATACGGATAACACCTTTAAGGGCCAGTGTGTCACATGTCTTTATGTGTGTACAATCATCTAAAGCCGATGTTACTTCTGTTTTTCATTGGCGTAGAATGAGCCATTCACATCTAGACGTGAGGATTATTATGGTATGGATTTCGTCTGAGCGGGTTGTATTGTCGGCTTTGCTCTCGGCCTTGAGCGGAGCCTCATTCAGTCAGTTGTGATCCGTAACCAGACCACCAAATGGAACTAAATAATACACGTTGTGCCGTTTTTAGAAGCTCAAAGTGATTAAAATGATGTGCGATCACAACAAGAAAGCTTGCAGAAACCGCTTTTTACACATGTGTAATCTTCTCCTCTTGCCCCCCCACTGCCCTCCCTCCATCCCTCCCTCCCTGCCGGGCCGGGGGGAATCCCGGCTGTGACGACAGAACCTGATGCGGCAGCAAAGTCCGGACTGCTCCGCTGAGGCTGTGATTGGGGACGTTGTGGCGCCCTTGATGTGTCAAACAATTAACAGAAAGCTGCAGAGAGAGGAGCGTGTTGGAGGGGAGGGGTGTAATGAAGGACCTTCAAATTAAAGGTCCGTCCCCCTCTTTTCCTAATTCAAAGGCGACCATTCAGTTTGATTTAAGCGTTCGTTTTTGTCCCCGTTGATTTCAATCGTCTCCTCCAAAATATGAACCATGTGTTGCTCAGCCTCTCCCTGCCTCAGCTGCGTCCTGCCGCCATGACGTCCCAATCCCAAGAGGGGAAAACGTCAGCAGCACAACATTACCAGCTGACCTTCTCTTCTCTCCTTACACGTGCAGATATGCAGAGACTCCGCAGCAGCATCCAAGTGTTATTTAATAAGGAAAGATGCATTAAAAGCCTTTAGTTAGAGATATTTATCCTCACACATGCAAACTTCTTATTCAAAATGTCTATTTTTACATCAGAACAAAATGTTCCCTCTACCTGAACACAACGTTTTCTCCAGCAGACAGCTGCTTTTCAACAGAAAGACACTGTGACATTTGTGCATCCAGCAGCACTGCAGGTACATTATGCTGCAGCTACACTCTCAGGATCACATGCATTACCCTGGGGGGTGTGGAGGTGTGGGGGGGCGGGCGTGTGCTCAACGCATTATCGGATCTTGCCTCCTGCTGGTAATTGAGGACACGGCAGTTGGAACCGAACGCGTTTGAATCATCGGCTGTCTTTGCAGACGTCGTCTCGCTCCATTATGCAGGAACATTTGCCGACACAATACACTGAGAGGTCAAGAAGAATTTAGAAAACAAACTGTCATTAGCAGCCGAGAGCGTGTGTGTATGTGTGTGCGTGGACCTGTATGCCGTCCAAACAGCTTTCACAGAGGAGAGAAAATTATGTCTTTTACATTGTAAGCATTTTAGGATGATTTGTGATGGTCTTGTTTTGCAGCGCTGATGTCAACAAGCTGCTAGACTGCTCAGTTGTCTGTGTGCGCGCGGCGCACAGACAATATATACATATATATATATATATATATATATATATACACTCTCACAGAGCCACACAGTGAACCAGGTCGTCTTTCGCCACCATGAGTTTGGGGTGATTTGCCATCATTGTGACATTCATGTTCTCTTTATGAGAATTTGATTTATCCTTTTCCGTTCAAGCTCGTAAAAAACTCATTTTAACTGAAGAGCCAGTGAAGATAATTTAATTTAAGTAGCTGCAGCTAGATGTACAGATTTCCTGCTTTCCTGTGTCATATGTTATAATAAACTGAATCTCCTTAGTTTTGGGACTGTTTTTAGTTTAAATAAAACTTTAATAAATAAACCTCAGGCTTTTCACAATTATAACCAAGATAATATATGATTCTTTTGGATAAAATGATTGATAAATATTCATCAGATTCATCAATAATTGAGAGAATCTTTGGTCGGAACTCTAATAAGAATTAGGATCAAGTTAACGTGTGTATTTTCTTAACTTGTGGTTTATTTATTTATAGTTTATTAATTCTCTTTGTGGATGAAAAAAAACATTTATTCCACAAAATATTTACTAAGTACTTACTGTATTTACTGTACTTTCTTAATGGGGTTTTCTTTTGTTTCTTAAAGTACTACTTTACTGGCTCCCTGGTTGCTGTGCAATGCTTTCATTTTATTTATTCTAGATGTCATAGTTATATATAATACATAATTCATATCATCAGGTTATACCAAAGAGATCAACTGGGGCAGGTTTTGTCTCTACCTCCATAGTTTTAGTCAAACAGATGAGAACTTATCATTATATTATTATCATGTATTTATATTATACAGTTTGTGTATCTATGTGTTGCCCAGTGATCAAATCATCCTAACAGCCTCCCTTTTCTTCTTCTATTCTTTTCCAGGGCTGAAAAAACAGAAGTATTAAGTGACGACCTACTACAGGTACTAGTGCGTGTGCGTGTGCGTGTGCGTGTGCGTGTGCGTGTGTGTGTGTGTGTGTGTGTGTGTGTGAATGATGCAGTGCTCAGTCTCATGTGGTCTTCTTTCTCCCTGGGACAGGTGGAGAAACGTCTGGAGCTGGTGAAGCAGGTGTCTCACAGCACGCACAAGAAGCTGACGGCGTGTCTGCAGGGCCAGCAGGGCGTGGACGTGGACAAGAAGTCGGTCAGGTCGCCCTCGGTGAGGATCCAACCCGGGAATGCTTTAATCATAATATCATCGCTATCGGCGAGTGAGAAAAATAACTAGTCCCAGTTTAGTCCTGATCCTCTACAAGAACTCGTCTCAGTTTAGTCCTGATCCTCTACAAGAACTCGTCTCAGTTTAGTCCTGATCCTCTACAAGAACTAGTCTCAGTTTAGTCCTGATCCTCTACAAGAACTCGTCTCAGTTTAGTCCTGATCCTCTATAAGAACTCGTCTTAGTTTAGTCCTGATCCTCTACAAGAACTCGTCTCAGTTTAGTCCTGATCCTCTACAAGAACTAGTCTCAGTTTAGTCCTGATCCTCTACAAGAACTCGTCTCAGTTTAGTCCTGATCCTCTATAAGAACTCGTCTTAGTTTAGTCCTGATCCTCTACAAGAACCAGTCTCAGTTTAGTCCTGATCCTCTACAAGAACTTGTCTCAGTTTAGTCCTGATCCTCTACAAGAACTAGTCTCAGTTTAGTCCTGATCCTCTAAATGAGCTAGTCTCAGTTTAGTCCTGATCCTCTACATGAACTCGTCTCAGTTTAGTCCTGATCCTCTATAAGAACTCGTCTTAGTTTAGTCCTGATCCTCTACAAGAACTCGTCTCAGTTTAGTCCTGATCCTCTACAAGAACTCGTCTCAGTTTAGTCCTGATCCTCTATAAGAACTCGTCTTAGTTTAGTCCTGATCCTCTACAAGAACTCGTCTCAGTTTAGTCCTGATCCTCTACATGAACTCGTCTCAGTTTAGTCCTGATCCTCTACAAGAACTCGTCTCAGTTTAGTCCTGATCCTCTACAAGAACTAGTCTCAGTTTCTTCAGGTGAAACCGGATGACATCGTCATTCAGGTTCACCAGAACCTCCTCGGCCCAACGGTGGTCTGACCCGGATCCGGCTTCCTGCAGAAGCTTCAGAGTAACGTTAATTACATGAACGTGATGATAAAAAGCATGTTCTTCATTACAAAGTATCTCCTTCGTCACAATCAACAGCCAACAAATTGATGCGATCGATTTGAGTGAATGAAAGGATGGATTTTGTGTCTTTGTGTGTGTCTGTGTGTGTGTGTCTGTGCGTTGCCACGCTCGCGTTGGTGTTGATGTGTTTCGGTTCATTTTGACTCATCGATTGTTTGTCCGTGTGTTTTTTGTGGGGGTTTTGTGCAGAAGAAGCTTCCTCTCACAACACTAGCACAATGTATGGTGGAGGGGGCGGCGGTGCTCGGGGACGAGTCTCTCCTCGGGTGAGAACACACACACACACACACACACACACACACATCATTGATCCTCTGTATCATCGGCAGAATGTTCCCTCCTGGAGCAGCGACATAGAAAGGAATATTTTAATCATGTAGAGCTGATTTCATTCAAGCAGGAAATATTTTTGGGGCGTCACCCACTAACCTGCACATGTAGTCATTTATTATTTGTTTTTCTGTAATTAATAATATAGGAAATTTAAGTATTTCAAACATAGATTTTGACCTGAAGCGAGTTGCTCAGTGTTAAATCACCTTTCTGGGTTAACTTATCAATGCATCACTGTATATTTATTGTTCTGCACAGAAAGGTGCACGACTAGATGTAAATCATCACCATCATCGCCGGCTCTCTTGCCTTCCTGTTTCTCTGCTGCAGGAAGATGCTGAAGCTGTGCGGAGAGACGCAGGACAAACTGGCTCACGAGCTCCTGCTGTTCGAGCTCACCATCGAGGGGGACGTGGTGGAGCCGCTGTACGACCTCGCAGAGGTACGGAAACAAACCAACCCATCGCGCTCTTATTTCCCACTCTTTTCACAGCAGTTGTTTGTCACTCAATGACTAATAAAATCTGGGGAGTTAATAATACAAAAAATAGAATCAACGCTGAGTTTCCCTCCTCTCACACCAGCTCTCGTCCCCGCAGGTGGAAATCCCAAATATCCAGAAACAGAGGAAGCACTTAGCCAAGCTGGTCCTGGACATGGACTCAGCGCGCACACGGTAAGTCCGATTTATACTTCAAACTATTTTATTCGTATCTTTTTAACTCATATTGATTTTACAATTTCTTTTTGTGAAAAACCCAAATATGTTATATTTATGTTTTGAGAGCACCAACAAATATTAACTGTTAATTGTGATACACAATGATTACTTTGGGTCCATTACAGCTTGATAATCATGAAATCAGTGCTCTTTTTTTAAACTTTAGAACTGTGAAAACCTCTCAAAGTGCAGATTTCTCTCCCGTCCAATCAGAACGGGTCTTGTTGACTCCCCGTCAGCTCTCTGATCAGTGACATGGAGAGAAATGGGATTTTCCTGCAGTCAGTCAGGGTTTAAAACATTTTTTTTTGTGTGACCCAAATCTATGACGTTGGTTTTTTTTGCTGTCCTCCATCATCCTGCTTTGTGCTGAGCTCCTCTGGCAGAGCGGCACATTATCTCCACCCCAGAGGGGGTTTGAGTGAGGAGGAGTTCATATTCACATTCACAGATGGAGACTTACGTTGGCTTTTCCAACCGCTCGTTTTGTTTTGCTGTCAGAATTCATTTGTTTATCAATGAAGTCTGAAGTCAGAGGTCCCGAATGCCTCTTCAGTCAAAAGCAGGTTAACATACTGACTAATCATCGGTACTGATGTGTTCACAGGTTTTATCAGTCCACCAAGTCTTCAGGACTCTCCAGGGACCTGCAGCCATCGGGAGCAAAGGCCGACCACCTCCGGGAGGAGATGGAGGAGGCAGCCAACCGCATGGAGATCTGTAGGGTCAGTGATCCCCTTTCTTCTCCATCAACTAGCTGGTTATTCAACATCATGCTTCCATCAAGTGTCTCTTCTTAACTTCCTGTCCCGGTTTTTGGATGGAGATGCACAATCACAGAGCTGTCATGATGTTTATTTACCTTTTTAGCGTGTTATATATTTGTTGTTGTTGTTTTTTACTTCACCAGGATCAGTTATCAGCAGACATGTACAGTTTTGTGGCCAAAGAAATCGACTATGCAAGCTACTTCCAGACGGTAAGTAGGCTGCATCCCTCCTGTGAGCCTCACAAATGTTCTGCTGGTCCATCTCAGACGCTCCGATCTCTTCTCTGTGCAGCTGATAGAAGTCCAGGCCGAATACCACCGGAAGTCGTTAGAGCTGCTTCAGAGCGTGTTGCCACAGATCAAAGCTCATCAGGGTGAGTCTCATTCACGCCGCCTGATTTTTACCTTTCACCGTTCGATTCTTCGACTCCAATTGTGTTGATTTGAACAGTTTGGGGTCCTTCTGTTGGAATTTTACTTATTTAATCACAGCTCAAAATCAACTATGATAGACATTTCGGCATTCATTATTATAATCAACATAAATGTCAGGTGTGCTTCTTGACCACGGAGGTAACGGGGTATGTTGGTGTTATTATTATTATTATTAAGCAGCTTAAGTCAAAGCACCTTTCGAATCCTTAGTCACATTAAACATCTTTGTTGCTCCCTTCCTGTTTGTTTGCAGGAGGAAGCGATTAGCATCTTGAGCTGCTACTTTAAATGTCTTGCGTACTTGTGTGTGTGTGTGTGTGTGTGTGTCTGACAGAGACCTGGGTGGAGAAGCCCTGCTACGGGAAGCCATTAGAGGAGCACTTAGCGCTCAGCGGGAGAGATATTGCCTTCCCCATCGAGGCCTGTGTCACCATGCTGCTGGAGTGTGGCATGGAGGAGGAGGTCAGACTGCAAATACACACACACACACACATACACAGCAAACACATCCACTGATGAGAAACTCTGCAGAAGTCTAACGAGGTCCAAGCTACGTAATGCTACGTGAATACGTCACTTCGCCATGTTATGCAGCCAGTGGGCCGTGCAGCTTTAATGGCTCTGAATGTAATGATTGTTTAATGGAGACGGATTGAGGGTCCAGTGAATGTTTTCCTTAAGCAGATCTTCATGAGATTAAAAGACAAATATATCATTATGAATATCTTAATTTCCATTTCACAGTCATTAGGCCTAATGTGAGGTTTGTTTAACTTAATGTTTGGAGAAGTTTGAAATTCATTAATCACATTAATGACTTTATACTTTATAGGACGAGCAGCCTGATGGCGACTCGGGCTGTTTGTTCATTAGCAGTGAAGTTTAATGTCCGGGAAAGTTTCCCAAACGTGTATGAAACCGTGGGAATATTTCAGATGTATATACGTGTGACGCTATTTACGTAAAACCAGATGATATGCTGTGCAAGAACATGTATCCATTGATGGGGTCGTCGTGGCGCGGGGGGGTAGAGCGGGTGCGCAAGGTTGGTGGTTCGAGTCCCTGCTGCCCCAAGTCCAAGTGTCCCTGAGCAAGACACTTAACCCCTAATTGCTCGCCGGGCAAAATGTAAAAAAGCCATGGGTTTAAAGTGTAATGTACGTCGCTTTGGATAAAAGCGTCTGCTAAATGACCTGTAATGTCATGTAATCAACAAACAGCGGCTCTTTTACTTTGAAACTCTCCGTGTTTTGTGCCTCAGGGTTTGTTCAGAGTCGCTCCTTCGGCCTCCAAGCTGAAGAAGCTGAAGGCGTCTTTGGACTGCGGCGTGCTAGACGTTCAGGAGTATTCTGCGGACCCGCACGCCATCGCAGGTACACCCCCCCCCCCCCCCCTTGCCCCTCACCCATCTGTTGCCACCCAGGGACCTGATTACCGTCCTCCACGCCGAGGAGCCGCTGGATTTATGAGCTGGCATCAGTCCGGCTGCTCGTTAGGAATCTTAATTTCTGACTCGCACACCTGCTCCGCACAAACGGCACAGTCAAGCTGTTAAATCACCCCCCCCCCCCCCCCCCCCCCCAGAGGAGCAGATATTACTCATGTTTTATGTTTATTTCAACTGTTACAATCGGTGAAGCTCACCCGTTGGTTTCTGCTAAAGGTTCACTTCCAAGGGGGAAGTTCAGAAAGGCCACACATGACAGATGAATGTCCAGTTTGCAGCAAGAGAAGCTTTTTGCTTCTGTTATAGTTCTGTTTTCGTTTGACTTTTCTTTTTTAGAGATTTAATAAACTATCCCCAAATTTAATTAGTGTGTCAGACAAATTCTTACCAACAAAACTACAACAATAAACCAGATTACAGAAGAAAGAAAGCGTTCATGATGCTGCTATTGATGTTTGGTGAACACGCTGCGTAATGCTGCTGTCAGATAAAATCTCACATCAAAGTAACTATAAATATTGTATAAATATCCTGAAGCGGTAAGAAAATGTTTAGAGAAATTCAAACAAGTAGGGGGCAGCATTGCTCCTCAACTACTATTAAATCTAAGTTTACAGTCATCAGTTATCAATGATCTGACTTGAAACTACAGATTGAGACCATAAACTCATGAACTTGTTAATCTCACGTTAAACTCACTTTCTCAGTCTTATATACAAACAGAGGAGTCGCCCCCTGTTGGACGTTAGAGAGAAAGCAGCTAGCCACGAGTACAAAACCTAATATAATGGTATACTTCCTAATTTCTACTGGAACAGATTACTGTCACGCTAACGATGGATGAGCAGCTCCTCATGAACAAGCCATTTGAGACGGGTTTGTTGTATCCGACTTGGAACAAAAACAATGTGACAGAAAGCTGCTTGTTTTCCCATTGTTGTCCTAATTAAGCAGTAAGGACACCTGAACAAATGTTGTTTTTATCAACCTCACACACACACACACACACATCCTGCTTCTCTACATTTTCTCCCTTTTTATTAAACAAAAAATCCATCAGCTGTGTTCATTGGAGCATGTGGACAAAGAGAGAGGCCTCTCTAATGATCCCACATTAAACTGGGTTAGCTCCAACAGCAAATCTAATTTGTGCCCCTGTCCCACTGGGAGTGATGGTCATGATGGGGGTGGCGGGGCGTCTGCTTCCATCAGCATCAATAAGAGGCAGCGGGCTTTTATTTTGTAAATGTAACAAACTTAGAACCGAATCTACTGTAGTTTCAACATAATTATCTGATTTAATGTGTTTATTTAGCAGGCAACTGGCCTGTGCAAACACACACACACACATACGCACAGACAGAGGCTGTCTAGTGGTGAGGGATGCCCTGATGTTGTTGTTTGCCATCCGTCCCACGCGCTCCCCGGGGGAAATGAACGCAGCAGACCAAAGAGGAAGAAGAACACGAGTCAGAAGTTGCTTTCCTCCTCAGCACTATAAAATGATATTTCTACAAATTCATTGTTGTTTGCTCAAGTATGTGCTCGTGCATTAATCTGTTTTTTTTTTGTTTTCTCCAGGAGCTCTGAAGTCGTACCTGCGGGAGCTCCCCGAGCCGCTAATGACGTATGAGCTCTACGAGGACTGGATCCAGGCCTCCAAGTCCGTACCGCCCCGCTTCCTCCCCGGTGTCGGCAGATCGGTGACGGGAGGACGCGTCGAGCTTTAATTCTTTCTC